GATGTTCCACAGTGAAATGACGAGCTGGAGCACTGCGTATCTCTGTTAGATGTAGCTGGAAGACTTTTCAAATTCGTCTTCTGAGGTATTAGTAGCTGAACCTGGTACCGGCCCACGAGCTGAACCACCGGTCCCCCGCCCGTCGTCTGCGTGCGGTGGTTCACTCCAGCCTGGGGGCCGGTTCACAGACTGAACCACCGGCCCTCTGACCTGCATCTGGGCCGGTGGTTCAGGGGCTGAAGTGAACCACCGCGCGCAGACGACGGCCAGTGGTTCAGCTTGTGGGCCGATACCAGGTTCGGCTCGGCTGCGCCCGTGTCTTCTCAGTTATTCCCGTAATGTAGCAACACGTTCCTGAAGTTCTGTGCAGGGCTGGGGGAGCTCGCAACTTCTGGCTGATTTGCTCGAACTAAAAGATATAATCCTGTGTCCGCATCGTGATCCGAAAACATCACCAAAATTTAATGGTGTGGTACGTGTGCTAGTATGCACGTGTTGTAAATATGACAATCCGTCCACACTTTTTTGAGTTATGCTGTCCACAGACAGACAGACAGACATACGCGACCAAAAACGTTACCTCTTCGGCGGAGGTAATTATAAACGGGTTTGAATGTAAAAAATCATTCAGAAGAAACACAAGAAAAACAAAGATGTGAATGTAGAATAAACAGATAAAAAGTAAGGTAGTTAAATCCCGATCAGTCCAATAAATAATTATCAAATGCCTTTTGCTTTACACTCCATAACAACATGACAGATGCTTGATAGATACAAGTATACAAACAGCTCAATTCGATAATAAAAAAAGATAAGGAAGCGTAAAAACAGACAGGGGACACATTGCAGAGGCAAAGCTTTGATGTTTTCTGGCTGATTGTGTGTCGTAGCTCTCCTGCACCTGGAAGTAATCATCCATCTTTGTTCTGCTCATCTCATCAACTRCTCATCTCTTACAGCTCATAATGCTGGTAATATCTGTGGCACCACAACACGCTGTTATGAAAACTCTAAGCTGCGGTATCTTTAATAACAGCCTGGAGACATACAAAATTATGTGTTGTGTTTTAGGAATTTAAGTCATATTTTGAAAGCAGACAGGAAAGACACTGATAAAGCTGACTTAAGGCAGATAATTCTTTTAAATATAATATAACCT